CTGTGGTGTGGGGGAGGCAGCATCAGTGGGGGCTGCCCAGCCTTGGCACTGGAGGCTCCCGTGGGATGGTATCTATAGCAGGGCTTCAACCTCTTCCCTGCACCCTGCTGCCACTGTGGCACCCACTGCCAGGCGCTGGCAGGAGGATGAGGAAGGCAGATCTGCCTCACTCAGGATGCTCCCGGGGAAGGCTGGAGGCGGACGGATCCTGACGCGAGGGGCAGCGTGGCCGAGCGATGGCGTTCGGGCTGGCGTGCACCCTCCGCCCCGGGCCCTGCCAGCGCCCCAGCCCCGGGGAAGCCAGGAGGACTGGCCAGGCCGGCCGGGTGGCCGTGCGGTTGGGTCCTGAGTCACGGCGAGCAGACTCGGGCAGGTCGCGGGGCGTGAGGGCAGCGATGCTGGGGGCTCCGGTGCTGCCGGGCTGGGGCAGCTCCGCACGGTGACTAACGCTGCCGCGAAGGCAGGGTCGCCCCGACCGCACGCCCAGCCCTGACTCATGCAGCCGTCGCTCCGGTCCCGTGGGTGCTGCCGGGCAGGGGAGCTGGGAGAGCTCCACTGCAGGATGGCGAAGGCTGGGTGCGCGGCTGGCTGCATGGGCTCCCAGAGAACCTCTCCTTCCTCTTCCTCCTCCTTCAGACTGGTTTGCATGCCCTCCCCGCAGGCTGTAAGATATGCAGCTTTCAGCACCCTTCCCCTCTGGGTTCCAAATCCTGGTGGCATCAGACTGAGAATCTTCCCTGGTGCTTCTCCATCTCTGTCCATCCTGCTGCTCATCCATACTTCAAGGTTCCCCAGATCTTTTATCTGCATCCCTTCAGCCCTACTCTGTGCCAGCAGAGCTGCTCCATCCTCCCACAGCTGCACACACAGACTGGCTGGACCTGGTGGTCCTAGAAGCCATCAGACCCTCCAAGGGCTGCAGCATGGCCAGGATTTTGCTTGGCTGGAACAAGCTGGTCTCTCCCCATGCTGCTCTCCAATTCCATCTGTGAGCCTCCAGCCAGTCTGTAAGATCAAGTGGGAGCAGCATGATAGAGCACAGAGATCTCAACCCCTGCCTTTCCCTGACATGGGTCTCTAGGGGGTTATCTTTTGGCACCCAGAAATTGCAGAGAGATGACCTGCTGCCCCAAGGAGATGCCAAAGACCCTCCATCCAGTGCCTATGAAAAACACTGCATGGCTGTCCAGGGCACAGATTTTGACACATGGTTATCCCAAAGCAGAAGGGGCTAAAAGAAGGTACCTGTCAAGAGGGAAGGTGGGAACAGAGCCAGAAAGCCATGGGCTGCATGAGGAGATGCTGGAAAGGAGTCCCGATGGGGATGACAACAGAAGAGCCAGCCCCTTTCTCCTGGGGTATAGAGGCTGCAGAACAGAGTCCTGGCAGGACCTGCTCCTGCATGAGGGAAAGGGAAAGGAGCAGGGAAAGTGTTGGCAACCTGGGAACTGGGCAGGAGGAGTTGTGCACAGAGATGGACGGATGGCAAGAGGGATGGAGGGCCAGAAGGACAGGATAGAGGGAAGTGAGGATGGAGAAGAGGACAAATGGATGCTTCTCCAACCCCCTACACAAAGCACATCCTCGGGCACCATATAACCTGCTGAAGGAAGGGACTTGCCTGGGGTGCTTTGGCCGGGGCAGCGGAGCTCCTTTCCTGCCTTGTCTCTGGGGAGCAACACCCTTCACGCCAGTTCTGAGAACTTCCCACATCCCTGCCCGGCCTCTGCAGTGTGGGGCTGTTGAAGGGTGTAGGACATGACTGAGAAGCTTCAAGGTTCAGGTCCCATGGTCCCATGGCCCTGTGTCTCCAACTGAGGGGCTGTAGCAGTGACAAGGACAAATGCGGTGCTCACAGAAGACCCTGCTTTTGCCCTGAGCCTTGATGTTCCCATCGGCACCAAAGCATCCTCTGACAGCCTCACATGCCTGCCTGCACCCACCCCTGCTCGAAGGGGCCAGATCCTGTCCTTTAGGCCCCCAGTTCAGCAGGCCACAGTTGCTTCATCTTGTGCTTAAGGGCTCTGCTGGTGTGACGCAGAAGAAAGGCTGGAGCTAAGGGATCACCTGGCTCTTCCTCAGCCCCAGGACATGGCTGGGACATGAGGAAACAGGTCTCCCCCACCTGCCCCTGCTGTAAGTGCCGGCAGTGGGACGCAGCAGCCGGCCTCCTCCCCAAGCCAGCAAGAGCGTGCGAGTGAGACACCCGCTCTTGGAAGCGATTATGTCATTAAGGGCTGGAGGAGGATGAAAGCGTTTCCCCTCTGATTTGCCTTGGCATTTATTCGTGCGCAGGATCCTAACGAGCACACAAACATCTGCGCTCCCAGAGCCTGGGCACCAGAGTCCCAGGAGCCACAGGAGTTGCCTTCTGGTGGGAAGGAGCACTGCTTTCACCAGGGGACCCCGAAAAGAAGCCCCCAGAGCACCTTCTGATGCATTCAGGTCAAGGGCAGCACATGCCTGGGTGTAACCCCTGGGGTGGTTCAAAAAAGCAGGGGGTGGCTGGGGACACCAGAGCCAGGGGTCTGCCTGGCAGAGGGGAACAATTAGGGGGGGTCCAGCCGGTACCAGGGTGCGAAGGGGAAATGAAGCACAGGAGCCAGGTGGGAGGAGGTGGGGAGAGCAGGAGCAATGGCCCCTACATTGGTGTCCAATGTGTGTCACCTTCACAAGTCCCCATGTGTGCTCTGACCAGCCTTGACACTGCACCTCTCATAAGCCAATGTCTGTGGCAAGGGTGGCAGGCAGGGATTCCTGAGAGTACTACCTGTGGGATACCCTGCATCACCCAGCGGCTACTGGAGGGTTCCAGGAGGGCAGCAGCTATGGAGGAAGCGGGATGGGTGCTGGGGCAATGCTGAACAAGGGACTTCTCTGTGCACTCAGGGCACTGCACAAGGGACATAGGGTCTGTGACCCACCTCCTGCCAAGCTGTGTGGGCAGGAAGTTGAGGGGCAGATGCTGCCTCCATGACAGATTTCTACTGGCCCACAGGCTAAGCCCACTCAAGAGCAGAGCAGGAGACAGAGGGTCCAGCACTCCCAAGAGTGCAAAAGGGAGCTCAGTGGAGATGCCATCCCCTGCACCCAGAGTCCACAGGGGCACAGCACAGCCTTGGGGCCCGATTCCAGACTGCAACTCATTTCCCAAGGGAAATGCATTTTTCTCCCTGGTGCAAACAGGAACCGACACACAGGAGTGCAGGCAGCCCCCACCAGCACTGCGGAAAGCAAGGCAAGGGGAGCTTCTCTGCCCCGTCAAGGGAAGCCAGAGCCGTGTCCACAGCTCCTCTAAAGGCATCAGGCCTGTGGTGCTGGTTCCCTGGCATAGGGCTAGTGAGCCCTGAACGGGGCCAGCACCGCCACGGGATGTACCTGGCCATGCTCTGTGCCCACACACACAGTCACACCCCCAGCACAGGCCATACACACTCACCCCCCTCTGTGCACACAGGCAGACACCTGCATGCCCCACACCAGCAGGGACACTTTTCTGCACCTTCACAGCTCGTGCCAGGCATCCCCAGTCCCCATGTGCATACACCATGGGCACATCGTCCCCACTCCTCATATATCCCATGCCATCCCTCTCCCTGTGCAGACTTTTACCATGCCCCATTGCATTCACTCTCTGCTATGCACGCTCAGCCCATACAGTGTCACAAGCACACACTCAGTCCACACTGTCCACGCTTACCTGCATTGCACACACTTGCCTTAAAGCCTATGCACACTTGCACCAGGCTGTGCAGTGTCACCCCACACTCCATACTTGCTCACCCTTACCGCTCACACTTTCAGCATACTCCACACACACTCACCCTGCTACACACACTTACCCCATGTCATGCACCCTCACTGAGTACTTAGTGGACACTCAGTCACATCATGCACACTTACCCATGCCTTACGCACACTAATCCCACACCGCACAACACACACTCACCTCACACCCCATGCACTCCCCCCTGCCATGCACACTCACCCATGCACTGTATACTCACTGTACACTGCACACAATCCCCTGTACTCCTGCATGCTGCGCACACGCACCCATACCAAGCACAATCAACCCACAGCTGGAGCACGCTCATGCTATGCACATTAACCCCAAACCTCATGTATACTTACCCCATGCCACACACACTCACCACATCCTCCCTGCATGCTCCTCTGCTCTGCACACTCACCTGATACCCGCAGCACCCTCCTCCCATGCCCTGCACGCACTCACCCACGCTGTAGGTGCTCCCCCAGGTCCCTATGAGTGCTCCCCCACACCACGCACATTCACCTCACACCACACACAGCCCCCCACACCGTGCACGCTTGTCCCAGGCCACGCACACTCACCTCTCACTACGCTCAATCCCCATGCCGCGCACCCTCACCCCACAGCTTGCGTGCTCCCCCACAGCGCCCACACTTACCCTACACCCAGCGCCCGCTCCCCCCCCGGTGCCCGCTCCCCCGGGCCGGGGCTCGGCGATCGCCCCCCCCCCGCCGCCCGCTCCCTCCCCGGCAGGCTGCGTGCGACACGCCGGCTCCCCGCCCCGCTGCCACCCTCTGCCCCGTCCTTCCCCCGCGGGCTCCTGTCTGGACGTGTCGGGACTCGGGCTCCGGGCGCTGAGTAATGTTCGGCGCAGCGCGATCCCAGGCAGAGCCGCCGCCGCCGCCGCTCCGCGCCCAGCGCTCCCGGGGCGCTCCAGCCGCGACCCTGCCCGCTCCGCCGGCGGCCCAGCGACACCGGCGGCGGGGGGCGGCAGGGGGGCCGCGGCTCTCCATGTGCCTGCGGGCCCCGCGGGAGCCGCAGAGCCGCTCGCCCGCCGAGTTCTGCCCACGCCCGCCTCGGCCCCGGAGCCCCGGGGCGCCCTGGGGAGCGGCGGGGGAGCGCACCCCGCGGGCCGAGGGCCCCCCCGGCTCCCCGGCGCGTCCCGCCATGGGGGGCTGAGCCGGGGGGCTGAGCGCTGCGGGGCGGCGGCGGGCAGGGCGGGGAGCACGCAGCCCTCGCCGGGCTCGGCGGGCGCCGGGGCGGCGGGAGGCGGGGGGGGCATCCCGGGAGGATGGCAGAGCCGCCCCGGCGAGCCGAGCCCCGGCGCGCAGGGAGCCAGTGAGAGGGAGGAGAGGGGAAAACACAAACAAGCAAACAACCCACAACAAACAAAGCGGGCAGAGAGCAGCGCCGAGCCCCGCCGCCCCTGCCCCAAAGGCGCCCGCCCGCCCGCAGCCCGCACAGCCGCTGCCCCAGCGAAGATGCGCCCGGCCCTGGCCCACGGACTCTGCTCGCTGCTGCTCAGCCTCTGGGTACCCAGGTAGGAGCTGGCCTCCCCTCAGCCCCGCTGCCGCTGAGAGACCCGGTCGCGCGGGGAGGGCGCCGGGAAGCCGCCGAGCCCAGCCCCACGCCGGAGGCGGGCTGCCCAGGGAGGCTCGGAGGGGGTCCCGCCGCCCCGGCCCGGCCCGGCCCTGCACTGCTGCAGGCTCCCGCTCAGGGCTCTGTCAGAGCCATCGCCCCCGTTGCCCGCCCCGTTGCTCCGGCCCGGCGGAGAGGCGGCGGGATGCGTGGCTCCCCTCGCTCCTGGACGTTGTCCCCCTTCCTCCCCGGCCGGAGCCGCCCCAACGCCCGCCCTATCTGCCTCAGTTTCCCCCCTCTCACCGGGCGAAGGACGGGCCTCGCTGCCGGGGGCCCCTGCGGGGGCCGGGGGGATGCCGGAGAGGATGTCATGGGGGTCGGGACGGGGGCCTTTGGGCTCCGCACCCCAGAGGCGCGCACCAGGGCGGGGGATCCACTTCCATCCCCTCCGCGGCTCCGCCGGTGCTAAAAGCGATTGGGGGGGGGATAAGAGGGGGCCGCCTGCCTTCTAGAAAACGGCCCCCCAGACACTCACCACCCCTTCTGTGTGCATCTCCCCCGGGTGGCTGGCAGCTCCCCTCCACCCGCTCCCAAACTTGGGAGCTGTGGACACCCAGGGGTTAACACTGGTGCTGGTGTGAGTGGGGGGGTCCCCCCGCCCTTCCCCCTCCCTCCAGCCTCTTTAAATATAATTTGTTAACGTTGGGACTTGTATTAATTAAAGCAGCAGCCGCTGCAGCCTGTGACCTGGGGGCTTGTCACCGTGAAATCAAGTTTAAATCCAGATTTCAAGGGGGAAGAGAGCTGGGGGAACGCTGTGTCCTCCTAGGGAGGGTGACAGTGACAGCTCCTTGCCGGTCCCTGGGTCTCCCTGAGCCCTGGGTGGAGCAAGAGGCAGCAGGACCTGCCCTCTGCTCTCCGGGGCCCTGCACAAGGGCTTCAGCCTCAGTTTCCCTGCTGAGCGATGGGGAGAAGCACCATAACACCCCTTACACCCCCGGGATGCCCTGGGAGAGGGTGGCAGGCACTGTGTCTGGCTCAGGGCAAGCATGGGACAAGGTCCTTGCAGTGCTTGGGCAGAAGCTGCTGGGGCTGGTGATGGTGGTAGCTGCGGACCCGTTTTGCATCTCGTGTCAGCCACGGCTTGCTTCGACACGGTGAATGAGCGCAGGAGCCAGGCAGAGGATTTCCTCTCCTGTGCTGGTGCTTTGGAGGGATGCACCCCCTTCTGCTTTCCTTCTGTCCACTCTCCCCCACCTCGACTCACCCTGTTGGAGTCACTGTAGGTCTGCACTGTGGCAGACCCACGTATCACCAGTGGAAGTGGTGGCATGGGTGTAAACGCACTTGGAAAGCTGGAGAAAGCAGCAGCCTGACTCTGACAGCTCCCCTTCCCCCCTGAACAAGCTGTAAATCAGCAGGGACCCTGGGGCTGAGCCCTTCCTCCAGAGCTGGATGAGCACTGAGCTGGGGAAGTCAGTCCTTGATCCCTGAGAGCTGCTTCTGTCCATGTGTCTGAACCAAGCTTGTAGGATCTGGGGGAGCAGAGGGGGAATAACCCTTCTCCCCAAGACCAGGTTGCTGTGTAAGGCAGCTACAGTCCTTCCTCCAGCATCCTCCTCCAAGACTCGTTTCTGTAGTCAGGGTTCAAAGTGCTCCAAGATCCTTGCTCCTGCCAGAGACCCAGCTCTTGGCTGTACTAGGGAAGAGGGAACCCTGCCTGGAGAGAGCTCTCAGCAGGGACTAAGGTGCTCTGAGCAAGGATCAGGGCAGTGCTGAGCTCCTGATGGACCCTACTGCAAGATGAAGATGCTCCTGGACATCCCTCTGCTTGCTGCTTGCTTTGCAGGTCCTCTGCTTGGACACTGTGGATCTCAGCATCCTTCAAGCCATTCCCTGGAGCTAGACAAATGCTTCCACCCCTTCCATTTCCCTCTCCACATCCATCTGTCCTGTATACCACTGTCTTAGCTTCACCTGTATACCACTGCCTTAGCTTCAGGCACCTCTCTCTGGACATGCTTTGTCCTTCTCCCCACACTCCGTCTCCTTGTTTCCCCAGGCAGCACCTCTACTTGTGTGTTTGCTCCCCTGCCATGGATCGTGTGCCTCTCCTTGCACCCATGCATCAGCTGGTCACTCTGCTTCTGTGGTGACAGGCATAAGGTCTAGTGGGACTGGGATCTTAATTTGGGATTATTGCTGAGAGTTTGAGGGTGTTTAGCAGGGTGCTTGGCTCCGAATTTCCCTGTCAAGCTGGCAGGAAAAGGCTGGTCCCTCTGGTTACCTCCCTTGTGAGGACCAGCAGCGCTGGGAGATATGGGAGATGCAGGGAGGGAATCAGCCAGCAACAAGGATAGGGCCAGACCTGGGATGGTCTCCTACTCTGGGGTCTCTGTTACTCTCCCAGGAGAAAGCCTATGCTCTCTGGCGAAGGCGGGCCAGGACAGTCTGTGCCTGACGGTCTGCACTGTGTGGCCAGGGTGTGAGATCCCTGGGGGAGCACACAAACAGGGTGCAGCCATGGGATATGATGGGCTCCAGAGTCAGGGGGACCAAATGTAACTGCTGCTGGGTACAGTCTGTGCTGACAAGGCTGGAGAGAACTGCAGCCCCACTGCTTCTGGGGCATCTCTGCCTGGCTGAGCTGACATGCCCAGGCCTTTCCCAGCTTTCTCTGTAAGCATCAGGCACAGTGTGGGTTGAGGAGCATCTCTCCTACCCATGTATGTCCCCCACCAAGCTCTTACCTCTCCCTAAAGGGGAAGTGAGCAGTTGTCACATTGCTTGCGCCGAGCTCATGGGTTCCCCTTTCCCTCCCAGCTCCTGTTCCAATGAGATCCTGGGCCTGAAGCTGCCATCGGAGCCGGTGCTGAATGCGAACACGGTGTGCCTGACCCTGCCGGGGCTGACACGGCGGCAGCTGGAGGTGTGCGTGCGCCACCCCGACGTCACCGCATCGGCCATCCAGGGCATCCAGATTGCTATCCATGAGTGCCAGCACCAGTTCCGGGACCAGCGCTGGAACTGCTCCAGCCTCGAGACCAAGAACAAGATTCCCTACGAGAGCATTATCTTCAGCAGAGGTAAGGGCTGGATGGTCTCCCTTCTCTTCTTGCTCTTTCTATGCCCAGCCTCTGCTCTCGGGAGCCATCATAGGCTCTCCATGGGCCCCTACACAGCTCGTTCTTGGCACAGGGAACCATGCCAGCTCTTCAGCATCCCCATGGATGAAGGCAGAACCTGAGAAACCACAGGGTTTTGCCACTGCACTGTGGCAAAGCTGGGCTCTTCTCCATGCACCTTTGTACTTACACTGGCCCTTGTCATGAGCTACTCCTCCCTGCCCAACCCCAGCTACTCCAAAGGCTTCTTCCAGGCCCCACCACTTTCTGGCATCTTCTTCCCATAGGGTGTAGGCTGGTGTTTGGAGTGGTGCCATGGGTGTGCAGAACAGTTGGTGGGTCTGAAGGTGGATGCCGAGCTCTGGGATTCAGTTTGGTGGATGTAGTGAGCATCCTGGCTCCTTCCTGCTTTGGGGGTGGTGTTTCCATGCATCACGGTGAGCAGAAACATCTCTAGCTAAGGGGACATAGCTCTGTGAGCCCATCACCTTGGCATCCTGCCTTTGTGTTGGCTTCCCAGTGCAGAAAGCTGCTTTGTGGGACCCTAGAGCATGGTGGCATGGTGGGGGCAGAGAGACAGGCTGTACTGGGAGCTTGCCTGTCCACAGAGCACCCACTTGAGCTGCTGGGAGAGCTCTCCTCGTTCTCCGTGGTCTGTCAAGTCCTGGTGCCATGACTCCCCTACAGGCATGGCTGGCTCTGCCTGCATTACAGCTCCCCTGATAATCTTTCCTCAGGAGTGGACTCTCAAGGTGCAGAGTGATTTCCCCTTGTCTCAAGAGGGGCTGCACTGCATGGTGCAGATCAGGGTTGTGACCCGATGGGACCTTCTGTAGGACTTGAATGCATCTTCTCACCTAAGTACCCTTCCTGAAGCCCAGGCTTCAGCACATCTCCAAGTGCCCACAGCCCCAGGCTGTGGGTAGGAGAGGACAGTAGGGTGCCAGTGGCAGGCAGGTGGGTGTTGAAGGTAGGAAAGGTGCCCAGCAAACACATTGCTCCTCTAGCTCCTGAAGAAGGTGAAAACTGCCAAAGATACTGTTCACCTACCCTAGCCTGGGAGCCTTCTGGCCTGGTGCCCAGCAGAGAGGTGCCTTTATCCCTTCCTCAAGCATCCCTCCACATCCTTCAACATCTTCTGTCCATGGGACTGCAAGGAGAGTCACAGAGAAGTTGGCAGCTTGAGGCTTCCATGCCTTTGCAGGGATGTGATGGCAGGGTCACCTAGGCAGCTCCAGCTGGTGGGGGGATGGCTGGAGAGGGGAGTGAAGGAGTATTTTGGTATTTTGGTGCTGGGAGCTCCCTCGTGTCCAAGGCAGATGGACTTGCTGGAGTAGATGCTGCCTTGGAACACATGTGACGTGAGGGCTGTGGTCCAGCCATGGAGCAGCTGTGGCCACTTTCAGCATGCTGGTGCCTGGAGGAGGGCAGTGTCTCTTCCCTCCACGAGCAGCACCCAGGTTAGGGCCTGGCAGGGAGGGTGGGGACCATCAGCCCTGATAAGCATCGAGGTATTTCCAGGTCCTCTGAGGAATGCAGTTCACTTTTAGTCTCCTCAGGCAGTAGGAGACAGTAACTTGCTGGCTCAAGTCACTCACACACCCTGGGCGAGCTTCCCTGCTCTGGGTCCCACCAGCCTGGGTGAGAAGCTCCAGCAGCAGAGAGCACTGAGCTTCTGCAACCCTCCTCAGCCCACTGGGTCTGGTGGTGGCTGGTGACTTGCAGCTCACCTGTCTCAGGTGCCACCTCAGCTCTTTACATTGCCAGGGCTGTGACTGATGGGTGTGGGGACTCCTGCAGCCCCTGGACTCCTGATCCAGTCCTGAGCTCTTGGGTATGGCTCATCCCAGGCTCCCAGCACTGGTAGGATGTAATTCCCTGGTATAGAGCTCTCAGCACCAGGAAAGGATGGAGGTAGGGCTGGAGTAGCAGAGCAGACAGGCATATCACAGAATTCCTGTTTTGGCAGCAGAGGGTGCAGGATGAGCCCTGAACACCCAGGCCACCCCATGTGGTTGCTCGGAGCTGTTCTGGCATGGAGCAAACCTTGAGGCTGGTGTCCTGGCCTGCTTCCAGCCTGCTCGTGTCCCTCTATAACGGAGCTGGAGCTCTGTGCTCTGCCTTACAGCCAGGTGCATCACCCAACCCCAGTGCTGGAGGAGAGGCGAGCAGTGGAAGCGAGGGGTGCAGGCTCCATGCTGCAGGCATTAATGGATCTGACCTCTGGGGATCAGGTCTCTGCTCTGCACCCTGCCCCATCCATCCTTGCCGTGCCTGGGAGCACAGTGTGCTTGTAGGATCATTGTTTGTAACCTGAAGTGACAGACCCCTTTAATCTTTCATTCCTTTTCCCACTTCTTCTGCCATCAGTTCAGCCGTGCGTGAATCTCAGTTTAAATTATTTGTAGCTGGCTTCTCCCTCCTGCTCTCCCTACTTGGCTCCATTCCCCGTCTCCGCCCCGTCCTCCTGCATCTCTTGCATTTTCACCAGTGCAGGTGTGAGCAGCGCCGGTGCCTGTCCCATCCTCTGCCAGGCATCCAGGCACTTGGTGGAGCTGGGCAGCTCATCTCTTGGAAATAGAGCAGGGGAGAGTGGCAGATGAATGCCTGTCTCCCCATCCTCCTGATCTGATCCCAGAAGTTTGAGTTCAAGCCCTGGGGAGACGGGAAGGAGCAGGGAGGCTTCAAATCCGACAGGACTGGGAGCCTAAGGTGGATTCTGGGCAGCATAGCCAGGGACAGGGATGCTGACAGCATTCTGGGTAGAGCACAGACCTGCTCTGTGGCAGGGAGGTAGCAGGGAGATGCGCCCATCCCTGGGGTACAGGGCATGGCAACTGCAGAGCACAACAGGTTAGCAGGGGGCAAGCAGAGAGGGTGCCCATGGACTTACTGTCCCTGCTCTTACAGAGTCCCTGGTATTTTTGAGACACTCCAGTGGGCTGTGGGTTTTTCAGGTTTGGTCTTTTGATGCTGTCACCCCTTGGGGTGTGGAATGTCCCTTGTACCCCTCGCTCAGCCTCCAGTGGCATCTACACCCCACATCCTCCTTGCCCCATGTGCCCTCCGTGTGCTCAGCATTGCCACTGCAAATCCTCCTGTCATCTTCTCTGACTCCTCAGCTGACTGCCTACGTCTTTGCCACACTCCTGCCCATTCGTTGGCACTGTCACCCCTGCCAGCACCCTCCAGTCCTGTCCCTGGTCCCGTGTCTTTCTGCTGTACCACCCTCACTCTCCATGTGCTGTCCCAGCCACCAGAGACATTTTCTGCTGGCCTCAGGGGCAGATGTAAGAGGACAGAGCTGTGAGGTAAAGGCAGGTGGCTGCATCTTCATCAGCAGGGGAGACAGGTCGCCTGCTCCTAGGGTGAGCAGCATGATCGTGTCCACCTCACTGGAAAGGGTTGCCTGTTGCCCCTGGTACATGGTCCACTGCAGCATCCATGAGTGGCTGAGCACTGGGTGGCTGTGCTGAACCATCCCTGTGTGCCTGCCAAAACCAAAGCTGCAGATGGCAGTGGGTCACCAAGCCTTTTTCCTTGTGTGGTAGATATGCACGCATGGGTTGGTGCAGTACCAGCAGAGCTGGGACTGTCCAGGTGCCAGGCAGAGGCTGTCTGAGGTGTGCCAAAGGATCCCTCTTCCCTCTGCATTCCCCTTTGTTCATCCCAACCTCATCTATATGAAGCTGTGAAATAACTGGGACCCTCATGGAGGGTCTGGGTGTCCTTGAAGGCCCGAGGGTACATGGCTGGAAGGGATGTGTCTCCGGAGGGCAGGATTCCCTGGTTCCTTCTGCAGCCTTTGGAGGAATGGGGTACACCCTGTGCCCTCCTTGAAGGGCTTCCTGATGACAAGGGCCCTGCATGTACATGGTCAGACCTTGATTTCTTACAGTGAAGAGAGGGGCACTCCCTGCAAGGCTGCAAACACCAGGTGCTGGGGGCCAGCTAGCTGTGAACTGGAGCGTGGGGAGGCTTTGCCATGTGCTGAGGGAGGCAGGTGCTCTTATGGCTACCCAGGGAGATGCTGCCAAGCTCAGGACCCCAGTGCCTGGCTCTGCAGAGCCCCAGCCAAGCTCGGGTGCCCGCAGACCGCAGTGCCTGGCCTGGCACAGCTGCAGCCATGCTGTTGGCAGGGATTTTGGTACCCCCAGGCAAGCCAAGGGCTTTGCCCACCTGGCCCTGAAGCGCATGTGGGTGCTTTGGATGCTCAACTTCATCCCTGTGGGTATCCCCATCCCCCAGACCTTCCCCCAGTGAGACCCTGGGGCCAGGGCAGCATCCCTGGAGGTGCCAGGGCAGCATCCCCAGAGGTGCGGGGCCGATCCTGGCTTCCTGCAGAGCGGCAAGGGCTGCCAGCTTGGAGCACTGTGGGCGGATGGGGCGCAAGGGCTGCAGGCTGTCCCTGGCACGCTCAAAGAGGTGCAGGGAGGCAAGTCGGGATCTGCAGGAAGGCATTTAGCGCCTGGTGCAGGGCCAGACCCTGGCAGGTTCACCTGCAGTTTAATTAGGGAGAGGGGAGGGAGCGAGGCTGGGGGAGAGGCAGCGTGTTGGGACTGGCTGTCTCTGTGGGCCTCGCAGGGGGTGGCAGGAGGAGCTCTCCTCTGCCTCACCAGCCATCAAGGCCAGGGCGATGTGCCTGCGGCTCCTGGCAGCTGCCCCCCACTCTGGGGGGTACTGCCCATGGAGGGGTGGCTGAGCATCCCTTGGGTACCCCAGGGTGCACCCAGAACAGGCTGTCCTGGCTGCTTCCTTGATGCCACACCGCTGCTGCAGTGATGAGTGCTGGGAGGGCATTGCTGCCCAGATGTGATGGTGATGTGTGGGAGGAAGGCCATGACTCCAGCTCTCCCTGGTCTCCAGACCATGGAACCCAGAGCTGTGCCTGAGCTGGCCCCTTTGCCTTCATCCCACATCCACATGAGAGATGGAGAAACTGCAGCACCTGTAGCAGAGCCAGTGCCAGCTGGGGCATGGAGTCCTGCTAAATGTTTCCCCATTTCCCAGATGCATCTTGACAGGGAAATTTTTCCCTTGCTTAAGACAGCCACTTCAGGATCTGACCTAGGGGTGATCCATCAGATCCATCCTCCTTGCCCAGCACAGTCCTTTAAATACATGGCATGGTGGTGGTGTAAGGGTGGTGTCCTCCATTCCCTCTTCCCTGCAGGATGCAATACTTCTCCTCATACCTCCCACAGCTACAACCTTTTCTGCTGTCTCTGGAGGGATCTGGTGACTCAGACATCACCACTGAGGTCTTAGGTGGCTGGGGTAGCTGGAGAGCCTCCCTGCGAAGGGCTCGTGGCTGGATGCCGCATGCTGTGCTCACCTGCGGTTCCTGGAAGCTTCCACCCTCTCCAAGCCCACGAGGCCTGTGTTTGTCGCCTGCAGCCACGTTGCTCGCTGCTTTGCTGCAATCCTCTAGGCTCTGCTGTGGCTGGGGTAGAGCGAGGAATGTAAACTGAACTTCCAAGCAGAACCACACGCATGGAAGCTGCTGTCCCAGTGCTGCCCTGGCCCCCTCTTCACCACTGCTCACAGCTCCCCATGAAAGAAGGTGAGGGAATGAGCAGAGAAAGCAGGGAGGAGTGGCAGGGCCAGGCACAGCGATACTGAGCAGGGAAATGGCCATGGTGAGAAGGGGACAAGAGTCCAAGAGCGCTGGGAGGTTAAGTCCTGGGGACCTGCCTGGCCCCTGCCTGCAGCCTGGGGGATGGCAGCTCAAGAGACAAGGACCCCGGGCCCCATCCATCAGCTTTTGCGTGTCTGGAGGGCAGCGGAGGAAAGAGAAGGGCTGTGGCTTGACCCCAGGGGTTTTCCAGCTGTGGAGGGCGCCAAAAGAACCTGGCCTCTTTATCTGCAAGGAGACGGGCTTGCCAGACGGACTGGATGGGGTAGAGCTTCTGTCTGGGCCCCGGGAGGTGCCACGTGGGAAATTATTCGGCAGGCTGGGGAAATGTGTGAGAAACAGGCTAACGGAAAGGCAGGGCTGAGAGAAGGGTGTTGTGCTGGGTGGAGGGTTTGCTGCTGCCATCCCCAGGCACTGGCTGTGCGTGCAAGGAGCTGGAGATGTCGAGGGGGGTGACGGTGACAAGCCCCTGCTCTTGGGCTGTGCCTGGGTTTGGCTCATGAAGTGCTGGAGCTGGCCCAGACTGTGGTGATGGAGAACTGACATGGGGACGATTTGGGGATCCAGGAGAACTTCCCATGCTGATTCTCTATTCCTGCATCACTTACCTGGGAACTGCATCACTGAAGGTCCCCAGATTCGGGGTGTCCTGCTCTAACAGCGATGTGGGTGTGTTGCAGGCACTGCCTGCCAGCGCTCTCCCCAGGAAGGCTGCACAGCATACGCACCAGCAGCCCCATTACCTGCCCGCTGAAAAATGTTGTTCAACTTGTGCATGGAAAGAGGCAGGCTGAGAGCAAGCTTGTCCCACACCGAGGGGAAGCTGGGAGAGGCTCCTGCTGGCTTTTAAGCAAGCGCCTCGTTAATTTTTTAAATGCACCAGTGTCAAATTAACACACAAAAGAGCAGCATGACTTTAAATGCAGGTTTCCGAGCCGTGTTTCATTTCCCTTTAATAAGATCATAGCGTTTGCTTGGCGGGCGGCAGTGAACAACCAAGGAGGCATGCGTGGTGGGAAGCATCGCCAAGGATGGGCGACAGCCGCGGGGAGTGGTTGTACTCTCACCTCTTGTGACTCTGTGGTGCAGGCAGGGAGCTGGCAGAGCCACTGCCTGGGATCTGTGCTTTGGGGTGCTAACCCAAGCTCCCTGTGTGATGGCACAGAGAAAATGCCCCAAAACCTCTCCTCTGTTCAGCTGTAGCAAAGCCAGTGCTGATCAAACTGCTCTTGTCCAATTGAGGGAGAGAGGCTGGTGAACTCCAGCTATTTATTTATTCACGTGTGAAGCCACGGCACTAAATCTGGCTCTCCCTCCTCCTCCTCCTCCTGCTGGGGCCAGTCACTGTGTATTGAAGCAAAGGGCATTGAGGGCTCCATGCTTGGCCCTGGAACCACAAATAAAAACACTGCTTTGCATTTAAAGTAAAACAGAAGTTCCCAGGTAGGGGAAGCTTTTCGTCCAGCTGTAGCAAAGCCAAGCAGCCCCACAGAGCCCCTGCCACGGGACCCATCCCTGTCCACATCCACCCTATCCCCAACTAATGGCATTTGTGAACGTCCTCGCTCCCCAGTGTTTAACGAATACCAGCTGCCGACCCTGGCAGTGTGTGATGCGGTCATGGCGTGCTCTCACTGACTAGGGATGCTCGATTTTTCCAGCAGGGTAGCACATTTACAGTTTTTTGAGGGAGCTGATGGGGCTTGGGGAAGGAAGGGGCATGGGCAGATGAATGCGGCTGGACAGGTCGTGCTCTCTGCTCCTGTTACTGCCTCATCCTCCACCCTGTGGGTAAGCAGAAATGACCCATTCCTTGGCAGAAGTATTCCTCAACCAGCAGTGAATCTATTATAGTGGGAAACTCTGAGTGGAGGTGGGAGGAGATACTGCCTTTCCCATAAGGGCCATGACACTGAAGCCTGAGCAATGCCATGGTGGCATCTCCCAGGGCAATGGGAGAGAAGGGTGATGGTGGGAGCTGGGGTCAGGGCAGGGCTGGGCTTCAGGGCAGCAATGGTGGGGATGGGGCTGGAGTGAGGATTTGGTCCTGGTCCTGGTGGCTCCCTATACCCCAGCATGCTGCTGGCACATCCACACTGCCCAGCCTGAGCCCTGCTCTCTCCTTCCTCACAGGCTTTCGGGAGAGCGCCTTCGCGTACGCCATCGCAGCCGCCGGTGTGGTGCACGCCGTGTCCAACGCCTGCGCCCTTGGCAAGCTGCAGGCCTGCGGCTGCGACCAGAAACGCCGGGGTGATGAGGAGGCTTTCCGGCGCAAGCTACATCGTCTTCAGCTGGAGGCCATGAACCGTGGCAAGGGCATGGTGCACGGGGTGCACATGGAGCACATGCCGGCCGAGACCCCTGGCCTCCAGGACTCCTGGGAATGGGGAGGGTGCAGCCCCGACGTGGACTATGGGGAGAAGTTTTCCAAGGATTTCCTCGATTCCCGGGAAACCTACAGGGACATCCACTCCCGCATGAGGCTGCACAACAACCGTGTGGGCCGGCAGGTGAGCAGGGTTGTGGGGCGATGCTGCTGGGTCCCCCAGGACACATGTGGGAGGGCTCTGGTGGGATGCGTGTGCAAGACTGGGATTGCCCCCAAGGCACCCCCATCTCCCTGCTTTTGCCCGGAGCAAAGGCAGTGGCGCAGCCCCGCTGTGGAGCAGATCTGCTGGGGAGGGCACCTCTGGGCATCACTGCCCGCCTGCCAAGGGACACTTCCCTGGCCTCCGTCACCTGCCTGTGGTGCAGCAGGGCTATCTCAGGGACAGGGTGAACTGATGTCAGGCAGCTGCAGCAAGGGAGGGCTATGGACGGGCAGGGAAACATCACTGGCAGAAAGGGGCGCAGCACAGGCTCCAGCACCCAGCACAGCTCTGGCTCTGGAGAGGGAGCCACTGTCCCAGGGAGGTAGATGCGAGTGGGACTGAGCGAGGCAGCATGTGTCTGTACCAGCTGGGATGTGCAGCATCCCCTCGGGAATGGAGGTGACAGCCCACAGCCTTGTCCCCTGTCTCCGAGGGGTGCTGGAACCTGTCCAGGCGAGCAGGGCAGCCTCCCCTCCATTCTCATGATGTCAGATCTTGTTAAAGGTGCTAATTAGTACTTCACTGTCTGGAAACTGATGTTTAAAAGCGGCCTGGCACTGGAGACAAGGAGCGTGCAGGCAGGAGGGGTTGGGAGCATGGCTACATTGCCCTGCCTGCCTTTGCTCCCAGCAGGTGCCAGAGGGACCCCATCCTCATGAATCCACATGTATCCCCAAGATCCCAGCCACATGCTGCCAGGCAGCACAGGAGTGTGTGTAGTGGCTGCAGGAAAAGTAATTAAAGTTCAGAATTCCACAGGGAGTGTTTGCCCAGGATGGGATGGCTCAGACATTTGGATGTGCCTCCTGCTTTGAGCATGTTTAAAACCAGCTGTGAGATGGCAACACTGCAGAGCCAGACCTCAGTGCGTGCTCTTCCCTGATGCTGGAGCTGAGCTTTACCACCCCAAAGAAGCCATCCTAGTTTGGCCAAGCTGTAAATGCCTGGGGAAAGCCAAAGATTTTTGCTTGCTTGGCTTTCTGTGCTTGTGCGTAGTGAAGGCTCACTCAGAATTAGGCAGCTAAATCCTCCACAGGCTGCTCTGCCCCAGGCCAGGCAAGACCATCCTATCCCAGTTCTGGCTACAGGGCCCATTCTGGCTCCTCTCCAGCTCTGTGTACCCCAAAACACTGGGACTCCTGTCACTGCTCAGAAATTTGGGGTCTGTATTGCCTGTTTCTCGAAGGAAGCCCCACAGCCCCATGGTGAAGGAGGGGAAGGTGAGAGAGGAATATTTGCACTGATGCATGTCAGCGTGCAGTCTCTGTGGGATCCAGCAACAGCAGAAATACCTTGGGTCTGCTTGTACCCAAGGGCAGGCAGCATGGGACTGGCCATGTTAGCTCTTGGTGGCTTTAGAGACAAGAGCTGGGCTGATGGAAGCAGCCTGGGAACTGGAAGCAGAAGCAAAGGAGGACCAAAGGGGTAAAGGAGGGTATGGTACCAGTGCGGGGGGAAGCAATGGCTGGACAGGCTGCCCAGATCAGGGATGCTGTTGAGATGAGGGTGTGAGCCCGTGTGTGTGTCAGGTTGTGATGGTTTTGGGTGCCATGCATTGGAACAAGGAGATGATGCTGTGCCTGGACTGTGCCTGTTGGTGCCATGCTTATTGACGGGGCTTGACCCAGCCATCCACATTGCCTGGGGATGGGTTCTCCAGCTCCCCACCTGCTCTTTCAGCAACACCATGGGTCCCACACCTATCTGAGTCCTCCTCACTTCTAGGACCATCTTTCTGCTGTAATAAGGAGCAGTCTTCTGGGATTTCCAGGAAAGGAGTGGCTGTGCTGCATGCAGCAGCTTTGTGGCCCTCCTCTCTGTGTCCTGGGGGTTGTACCCCTTGAGCAGAGCAGTGATGTGGACATGCATGCCATGTGCTGTACCCTCCCACATGCATGCCACCTCTGCATGCATGCACCAGAACATGCGCCTCTCCATGCACCAGAGCTCTCCAGCATCTCGCTGATTCTGAGCATTGTGTCCATGGTCCCTGCGTGTCCCAGGGGTATTCTGCACATGGGTAAGCCTGTCTCCTAGCTCAGGCCCTCCCTTTCCAGGGGGAGATGACAACCCCACCAGTGACCACATCCAAGGACTATTGGATGTGGGTTTCTGTAGTGTAGTGGTTATCACGTTCGCCTGACACGCGGAAGGTCCCTGGTTCGAAACCAGGCAGAAACACCCTGGTTTCTTTTCTTTTGCATCCAGCTACAAAGGCACGGAGGCGATTGCAGCTGCTGGGGATGTACAGCATCCTCTGATGGTGGCAGTGGTCACCTTGGTCCACTGTTGGCATAGGAAGCCCTGAGCAGCCAACAGTTGTTTGGGTGTCCTGCATCCCAGGGAGGGAGCAAGTTCTCAAGTGAGGAACAGCAGGAGCATGCAAGAGGCTTTGCAGGTCCTCCTAATGCAACAGATCAGAGAGTGAGAGAGGATGAAAGGCAGCAAGGAACTACCCATTACCCTCACAACAAAGACCTACGATAAAGCTCTTATGAGCGTGTCTGGGAGGAGCTGGGAATGTGCGAAAGAAAGCACCAACGAGTCCGGGCATGTGCTGAACCTGGGTGTCTGTGAGACAGGGAAAGGACCTGGGTGGGTAGGGGTGTGTGGAGGAGATTTGATGGCAAAAGCATGGGGCTGAGGCTCCTCAGATGGGTCCTTTTCAGGTCTCCTGGCACTGGCAGGGTCCTGTGTCCCCTGTGCTGCCCATGCAGGAGGGAGAAAAAGCCATCCTTGAGCAGGGGTGGATGGGTGCTGTAGTGCTGGGGCTCAGGATGCTCAGTGGTGATGGCTTGGGTGGTGATGGAACACACGTGCTGTCTTGTCCAGCCCCTGCTGTGACCAGTCATAGCCCCAAATGAGGCCCTGTCCAGCTGTCATGCTGCTGTCCCCTCCATCCCAGCGGTGACCATCCCAGCCAGGGCTTTATATGCAGATTTTGCCTGGCCCAGACAAGGGAGCAGGGAGGCGGTGTGGGAAAGGATGGGTCCCAGTGCCAGTGTGTTCCCATGGATGGTGGCAAGGAGGGTGACGAGCAGCTGGTGTTCTGGCTGGCACACCCAGGGCACAGCGGAGAGGCTGGGCAGCTCATTACCTGCGAGGTGGAGGCAGCTCCGGCAGGAGACAGGACTCTGCAGGATGAAAGCCAAACTCCAACCCAGCCCAGACCTCTCCACCGTGTGCCCCTCGCTCCAGGTGTGTTTCCCTGACAGACCTTCATTACCATAACTGCTTAGCAACGGGGATATTTACTCAAAAACAAGAAAACAAGGAGTAAAAACTACCCACCCCTCTCAAAACAAGGCACTCCTTGCACATGCATTCCCCCCACCCCAGGGATGGGGCAGGAGCAGGCAGCATGGGTCAGGTGTGAAGCCGGGCAGCTAGGCAGGTTTGGCATCCTGGGACAGGACTTTGCATAAGGGCACATGTCCCCTGGGCTTTCCCCAGCCCCTGGAGTGTGTCCCTGAGGTGAGGGAATAGTCTTTGCAAGCCCCAGCTCAGCTCCTAGAGGGGCTTGGGTGTCTCCATGAGAAGGGAACTTCTGGAGCCTGTGTGACGCATGGGTATGGAGGCGCAGTACCCAGCAGGGAATCCCTCTTGGGAGAGAACAGAAGGTATAAATGCATCCCCACATGCATCTTTCCAGGCCATGTGGGGATGCGTGGCTGCTCCATGTCCCTGGAGACTGCTGGGCATAAGCGGTTTCCTTTGGCATGGCCACAGCATCATCCCTTGCAGGGATGGGGGACCTAGGGAGACCTCAGTATGCAGCCTGAGGGCTCAGCAGCATTGCCTAGGGACCCCAAGCTCCTCCTTGCCCCCATGCTGGCCTCTGGCCCCAGCCCAGGCCCCAGCCACAGCCCAGCCCCATGCACAATGGCCCTCCTAGTGGGTAGACGTGTGGCACCAGTCTTACTGTGGCCTCCCCAGACCACTAGTCAGGGCTGTGAGCATCTCTGAGCCCTGATTGAAATTCGGGTGATGGTGGGAGGCAGTGCCTCAGTGCTCCTGGCTCCCACCAGAAAGCAGGCAAGAGCTGAGAGCAGAGCTGCTCCTGGGACTCCTGAAGCTGGAGCTTTAGCGGGGGAAAGCCCTGGGAAGGGGAAAGCATCCCTCTCACCTGCCCCACTTGAAGTGCTCCTGACTGGTATGGTGCGTGGGGACCTCTGCACTGGAGGGTCCCAGTAGGGCTGCAGACATGCAGCCATGCCAGCTTTTAAGTGGGGTCCATGGTTAGGTTGGTGCTCCTGGAGGCAGGCAGCAGTGTGAAATTCAGGTTCCTTCTCCCTGTGGTCAGGTAGCTCACTCTCCCCTTCTGGTGCTGATCCCTTGCTAGAGCATAGAGTTGGTACTGCCAGCATGGGAAGGGGCAGAGTGTGGGACATGGGTGACACTGAGCATAGCAACAGGGTGGAGTCCTTCTGGCTTTTCAGCTCCAGGGCTCTGATGGCTGCTCATGACAACCCTTGGTGTCCTTTCTGTCCTTTCCCCACGCAGGTGGTGATGGACAACATGAGGAGGAAGTGCAAGTGCCACGGCACCTCAGGGAGCTGCCAGCTGAAGACGTGCTGGCAGGTGACACCCGAGTTTCGCCTGGTGGGGTCTCTGCTCAAGGACCGCTTCTATGGGGCCACCCTCATCCGGCCCCACAACCGCAATGCCGGGCAGCTGGAGCCGGGCCATGCTCGGCATCGCCGCCGGGCCGGCATCAGCGAGTTGGTTTACTTTGAGAAGTCACCTGACTTCTGCGAGCGGGAACCAGCCCTGGACTCCTTGGGCACCCAAGGGCGCCTCTGCAACAAGACCAGCCCTGGCATGGACAACTGCGAGAGCCTGTGCTGTGGCCGTGGGCACAACATCCTGCGGCAGACACGCAGCGAGCGCTGCAACTGCAAGTTCCACTGGTGCTGCTTCGTGGCCTGTGAGGAGTGTCGCATCACTGAGTGGGTCAGCGTCTGCAAGTAGCCGGGCAGGGATGGGTGCCCACCCCAGGGTGCCAGGGACAAGCACGCCTGCCCGTGGCAGGGGAGGGAGATGGGGATCGGCGCTGAGGGGGAGATGGAGCCGTGGTACCCGCTTCCCTCCGCTCCGAGGGGAGCAGGAGAGGAGATGCTCAGCACCTCCGAAATCAGCACTTTGTTGTCACCTGGGGAGGGCAGGGCTGCACGCTGGCTGCTGCCTGCCTGGCCCCGCACGAGAGCACCAAGGCTCCTGGCCCCGGGGAGCACACGGCCATGCTGTACAGACTGTCGACACCAGCACTGCTCGGGGGGTGAAGGGTGGGCACAGGGGTGGGGAAGCACCCGCTGGCACCCAGCGGGATGGGGCAGGGTGGGGTGGGGGACAGCAGGGCATGGGGAGCCCAGGATGGGAGGGGAGGGGAGGGGAGGGGGACACGTACCAGCACTGTGCACAGGTTCCTCCAGCCACGTGCGAGGCTGTGCTCTGGGCCAGATGGGGATGGAGTATCCCATGGGATGGAGCGTGGGCACAGCTCCGTGAGCTGGGGCTTGCCTCTGCAGGGGCAGAGGTTGGGCTGGCTTGAGCTGTAGCACTGTGTCCAGAGGGGAGGGTGCCCGGGGCTGTGCTGTGCGTGCCTGTGTTATTGTATGGTAAGTTATTTTCTGATTGTGAATAAAAGTGGATTGGAGACAGCATGGGGTATTTCAGGATGCAGAACCCTGCTCTTCCCTCTGCCTGGGGCTCTCTGCTCCTGCAGGGTGCCAGAAGGATGGAGGGACCCTCTGTCGTGCCTACCCACTTGAGTGAGACTTTCTCTGCAGTGCTTTGCTGCCGTACCTTAACAGCCCTAGGATCTGTTTGCAGACTGGCAGGAGATGCAGAACCCCTGCGGACACCCCATACCCTTGCAAGGTGGCTGCTGGAGGGCTGCTACCCACCTGGATGCATGTTGGACCCCATCCATCCCATGGGAATCTCACCTGTTGGCCTCATGCCTGTGGCCAAACTGGGGCTGGGGGCTGCTCTGATGCCCCCCATGCTCCTGGGGAGGGATGGTGGGTCCAGAGAGCATGGGATGGGGAAGGCAGCAAGCACAGTCCAGGCAATGGGGGTCCACGCATGGCACCTCGCTGTGGTGGTGGGGAGGGCACCCAACTGGCTGCAGCAGCCCGCGGGGACCAGGCAGTGAATCATGCTGCTGGTATCTCCCAGCTGATAACTTCCCTGCTCCTCCCACGGCTGCGTGCTCCTTGGGGCTACAAAAAAAAAAAAAAAAAAGCGAATTAAAAAGAACCTAACAAAAACCAAAACCAAATTGAGGAGGAAAATACCAGGCTGGAAGGAAGTGAGCGCCCCGGGCCCGGCAGGGAGCGGCTCCTTTCGTCGTTTCATAACGCTCCCGCGGGCAGCAGCAGGGAGCTGGGTCAGCTGCAATGGATGCTCTGCCCTTCCCCACCCCGGGGCAGGAGGGCTGCTTTGCTCCTCCGGTAGAGAGCTTAGAGAGCTTTCCCCTGGAGCCAGCCGGTTTAGGGGCTGAGGAGAAGAGGCTCTGGAGGTGATGGAGGGGAGCGTGGGAGCACCTGCGTTGCTCCTTCTGCCAGCACAGCAGGTCACATCGCTACCGCAGTGGCTCCCGGCAGCAAAGACCTGGAGCTGATGACGTTGCGGGAATGGGACCTCTGCTTGAAGCTCAGGGCACCCAGGCTCACCCTACAGGACATGAAAGCTGCAGTGTTCCCGTGGGGTGAGCTTGCTCTGGCAGGGCATGCTCCAGAAATCCATTTTCCCTCCTGAGGGCCTGCTTTTCTATCTTCAATATTGATCTCCAACATCAGGGTCCTTTTTCTAAATCCCCAAGCTCTCTGCCTTTTGCTCCATATACTAGTTGGACCCCCCAGAATGTTCCCTGGAGACCCCATCTACCCCTTTCCTCCCAGAGTGGCCAAACCAGTGCTGCCCGTGGCAGGGGGGCTCTGCACATCAATCATGCTTCAGTACTTTGTAGATGGCATTGGCTTCCTCCCTCCTAGGAGCTGCTTTGTAGGCGTCTGATCTCGGGGCTGCCTGGAGTGATGACTGACTCACCACTGAGCTCTCCCTGCACCACAGGATCCTTTCCCCTATTTGCTAATCTCAGGTCACCTGCGCTGCAGCAGCTGGATCCCAGCACATGGCTCCCCTGGCCGAGCAGAGCTGGGAAAGGTACCCGAGTGGGAACAAGGTGTGTTTGATGATGCAGAGAGAGGGATGGAGGGCAGGGCCATTCCCCCTAAGCACATCTCACATCCCCCAGTGAGGGACAGGCTCGGTGCATCCTGGGGCTGCAAAGACTGCAGCTTGTTCTCTCCTAACACCCCCCACCCTCAACTTTGGGAACACATTGTTGTGCAATGGCACACCAGTAATGCCAGCACAGGCACGGTGAGACTCCCAGCACAGCCTGGCCAGTGAGCCTGGCAAGCCACAGTGCCTGGTGCTGTTTGGTTCTGCAGAGACCCTGTCTGAGCTTGGGACCTTGGGACATTCAAGGGAAAGACATGAAAAGATCCCTTGATCTTGTTGGGTCTGTGGGCGGCATGGTCGGGGTGCAAACATTGTGCTGTAGGGTGCTTTGGGCTGCAGGCAGCATGCTCCGGGTGCAGGCAGCTTCAGGGCACAGGCTGCTTGGTCGCAGGAGCTCATTCCCTCCTGGGGCCAGCTGGATCCCAGCGCAATACCAACCTTCAGGATCTGCTCTGTGGCTTCCCTCACTGAATGTCTGGGAGCCACAGGCAAGACGCCAGTGTGCCTGTGGTTACAAAATCATGTCCCCATCCTTCCCTAACTGGGAATCAGCTGCTGGGCAGCTATCCTAGCAACCACACTGCTGGGCACAGGGAGTGTGCAGCACAACCTCCTTTCCTCATGGTCAGTGCCGAACCTCCAGAGCCAGTTGCCAGTGAGGGCTTGGCTTCCCAGGGTCTGTGCATCCCAAACCTCTCCTCTTCCATCAGTCTGAGTGAATCCTCCCTGATCCACAAATGGGATCTGTCCCAGCCCCTGCAAAGCGTCATGTTTCCTCACGTGGAGACACTATTTGAACCTGCTGAGCTGCTCCAGCCTTATACCTTCTGGTGCATGCCCCTCCTGCCCCATCAGCAGCACCTCTACCTGCACAATGGGAAGGTTCAAGGTGCTTCACCCAAGAGAAATGGCCATCATGGCAGAAGAGCCTAGGCAGATGATGGAGGTGGTTTCCAGGAGAAGGGAGGAAATTTTCCCAATGCTCTCCTATCATCTCCCTGCAGAGGCAAATCACTCAGGAAGTTCCAAAGCTAAAAAAGACATGGCCATTTTTTTCACATGCATGTCATGGAAAGAGCAGTGAAGGCTTCTAAAGATGTCAGCAAGTCCATGCTGGCACAACCAGGTGAAACTTAGTCTTATTTCATTAAGCGCTCAAGCCCTCTAAGGGTCCCTGCTGCAGAGGGGACCACCAGCCTGGTGACTCTGCTAGAGCCACGCAAAGTCCAGTGGTTTTCCCTAAGTTTGAATTCCTGTTCCCAGGAGCAGAAGAACTTCTCAGCTCCTTCCAGCAAACTGAAAGTGAATCTCATTTCTTGCCCCTGCTGTTGTGGAGAGTGATGGGAAAGCCTGACCTGAGATTGACCGCTGAAAAAGCAATAGAGAGACCTGAACTGCCCTAATTGGTTTGCACTTCTGCCAGGTATGAAGCCAGATGTGTGGCTCTCCAGATGTGGATATCCCAGGCTGGTGCTCTCTCAGACCCTGGCCTCATGCCCATCTCCAGACACAGTGCGGAATAGGTGAGGGCTCAGCTAGTTCCCCCCCAGCACAGCAGGTCGCTGGGTCCTTTCTCCTCTCACCTAAAGCCCCATCTCATCTCCTTCTTCTGGAAAGCTCCAGCAAGGGTGGGGAAGGTCTCTGGGGGTGGCAGTGGGGGAGTAGGGGGCTGGGACTTTCCCTAGGAGATCACAGGAGAAACTTTGGCTGGAGGGTGGGGGAACCGGTGAGGAGTTGCTACATCATGCCCCAGTGAGCTGTGAGTAACTCCTCTGGTATTTCTTCCCCGCACAGAACAGTCATCAGAGCCAGATCCTGCCCGGGGGAATCACTACACGGGAACGCCCAGCCCCATCCAAATTCCATTCCTGCTCCCAGCAGAGCTGTTTTAAAGCAAAGCCATGAGGGGACAGTTCCCTGGTACCCCCTGTCCCATCCCACCTGCTTGGGGTGGCATGAGCATGGCCATGGGCAAGGCTGGCTGCTCACCCACAAAAGCAGCCAGATGCACCTGGGCCACTTGAAGTCACTGGAGATCAAAGCCTCATTGCATCTGCTGGTCCAAGGGGAGCAGAGGGCAGATCATTCCTTGTTTTGGTCTGGGCAACTTCTCCATGCTTCATCTGGTTGAGAAGCAGATGGCCATGGCTCGAGACCCTTCCCAAGAGCCTGGCTGGCACCATGCTTCAACCTATGCTGCAGAGAGGTGCTCCAAGGCTTTCCTGAAGTTCAGCCCCAACATGTCATGCTTGGCATCAGCACCTGTGTGACCCCCCGAAAGAGAGAAAAAAGAGTTTGGCTCTAACTGACCTGCTTGGCAAGGTGGAGTACCTACAGCGAGGCGGCAGCTGCCTCTGGAGAGTAGCCCAGAAGCCTGTGTTCTCTCCACCAGGCCCAGCTGCTGCCCACCACCCCGTGGCACAGCATCCTGGTGGCTTTGCCCTCCATGGTGAGGGGTTGGTCACCTACCCAGTGAGGATGCTGGAGCCACCACTGTGTTGAGCTCATTGAGTGACCAGACATGCTGGCAGTAGCCCGAATTCACAGGAGTGCCCCTACTCCCTGGGATGACTGCAGCCTCCTGGCTCAGCCTCAGCTACACCAGCCCGTGGTGCTCCGTGACTGGGTGCCCCTGGACATGTGGCTGCCACGTGCCTGCAGAAGGGCCAGCAGTGTCTGGAGATGGGTGGGATGTGGAGCTGGAGAGCAGAGGGAGGGCTTGGGCTGAAGGCTGTAATGGAGCTAGGTCAGCTCCAAGGGCCAGGGTAGGAAGA